CAAGGAAGTTTGTAGTTAGGATGGGAATGGGAGAGGAATGGAAATCTGTGGTCAGAGAAGACCTTTCTGAGTATGATACTTAAGCTGCCAACTAAAGGATGAGAAAGACCCAGCCATGTGAAAGTCTAAGAGGAGGAAATTCTGAATGGAGAGAACAAAGTATCCTATCTATTCATCACTTTGCTCTTAGCACCGTGGAATAGGCAGAAAGCCGTCATCATAATTATTTTTTATGATTACAGTATGTACAACAAATGTGAAATAGAATCCTGGCACATTTTAGATGCTTCCTAAATAAATGTTCTTTTTTATTTTGTTTTAAAGAAAGCTGGATACACTTTTGAAGTTCATTCTTTCTCTCTCTCCCTTTTCTTTCTTTCTCTTCTGTTCCTTTCCTTTTCTTTTCTTTGACAGGGTCTCACTTTGTTGCCTGTGCTAAAATGCAGTAGTGCAATTTCAGCTCACTGCAGCCTTGACCTTCCAGGGTAATGTGATCCTTCCATCTCAGCTTTCTGAGTATCTGGGATTACAGGCATGCACCACCATGCCCAGCTAATTTATGCATCTTTTGTACTTGACCATTTTTCCCAGGCTGGTTTCAAACTCCTGAGCTCAAGCAGTCCACCCACTTTGGCCTCCCATAGTCTTAAGATTAAAGGTGTGATCCACTGTCCCTGGCCTGATGGATGCAGCCAATCACAAAGGCACGTGTATACCTATGTAAGAAACCTGCATGTTCTGCACATGTACCCCAGAACTTAAAGTATAATAAATAAATAAATAAATAAATAAATAAATAAAATAGTTGTACAGTTGATCACAAATTCGCTTGCTTTGTTCTTTGGGCACAGCTCTGAATAACAAGGAAATAGCCTTCCTTTAGAGAAATTTGGAAAAAGAACCATTGGACAGCAATTTAAAAAAATAACATAATCAAGAAGGCATTAATCTCCTTTTACATATGAAGTAGGATTCTAGCCACAGAGGAAGCAGAGTGAGATGAAAAAAAATTATTGGTGTATACTACTGCTGAATACAGATGAAAAAAGTGGTTGCAATTATCCATAAAAAGCAGTTAGGAAAAGAAGCATCAGGATGACAGATCTAAAGATTACTTTTGCAAAGGAAAAGGGATTGTGAAAGGGCAAGGAGGGGAGAAGAAAAGAAAGTTTGTTGGGGGACTTTCAAGTTAAAACCAAGGAAGCTTGAGATGCCTCACTTCCAGTTCCTTGGGCATATGCCCAGTATAGCAAAAGTTATTGCTGTGGAGAGTACTGGAGGCAGGAGGGCATGCTAGAATTGGGGTAAACCACAGCAGCTAATTTCTCTTCATAACCGTCAGGCCTCAGAGCAAGAAGTTTCATTGACATGAGTGAATAAGATGTGATTAAGCTGCATTTTGGCTAATTTTTTGGGAGGTCAGCCTGTTCTTTGATAAGATAGCTGTTTTATAAAAGTCTTTTACAGAGTAAGATGGCATGCCAAACTTAGCTAATTTTAGAAGCAGTCATATTATAAAAGTTATTCTGTGACTACCAAAATTGTCATTTTCTAAGAATACTACACTGATCTTGAAATATAAAAGTTTATTCTTTTCTATCAAGACTGTGGCAATTCAGTTTTCTCTTTTGTTAAGTATTTTGAGATTGAGTTTATTCTATATGGTTTATTTGATATGTTTTAAGTCTTGCATGAGTGGATCAAGGAGCTCTTAAGAAAAAAGTCAAATGAGAGGATATGAGAAATGTAGGTGCTTCAGTAGCCACGTGGGCATGGGAAAATGAGAGTTTTCAGAAACTGTTATTTCATAAGTATGTATCATAGCTGATCAATTTAGAACATTTTCTTTGATGAGAGGTGAATCACACATTCACCTGAACTGGCATCCCAACTGTGTATTTCCTAAGTTAATGGACAAGGGAAAGCACATGATAAATATCTGTGGTGTTCTGGCATCAATGCCTCTGATATTTCGAGTTTAAATACTCTGTAGCAATCACTATCAGCCTTGACATTGATCTCTCCGGTTATGATTTGCTCCATTGTTTAATGGTCCCTTTTATCCTTATCAGCACAACGTGTTCACGTTAATATCCATACTTTTCTATTTTAGTTGCAGGCATTTGAAACAATCTCACTTTTGAAGTATAAACTTTGTGATTTAGGGATCCTATATTCTTATTTTACTCAGGATACTTCCATCACATTTCTGTCCTAGGCAATGAAAAGGAAATGCCAAAAAGAACTCTCAAAACCTTAATTATTTTCAGAGCCAGGCATGAGGACTCAGCTTGATACTAACACTGCATAAATGTTTGCTTGGCCCTGTCATACCTACATATAATTGATGACATGTCCCCTTTACTTTGTAGGGCCTCCTTGAATAACATCCTTCCTTGAAGGTTATTGTATATATTTATTTTTAATTAGTAACTTTATATTGTATAAAATATATATTATTTGTTATTTTCTTTTAAAACCCATTCAGCCTACCACTGAAATGGAATATCCTGTTGTGAGAGAAGCAGTACAAAGAAAGAATGTACAGACATCGAGAGCAGGTGCATTTTCAATATAAATGGAATGCTGGAAGTAAGTACATTAAATGATTGGAAGTACTCACATTCTTCTTAACCCTAATTCTTTTTATTCTAAATTGAATGAAAGGCATTGACATAAATGTTATTGTTGGTATCCATATTTCAATAAAAATAAATTTAGGAGTATAAGAAAACGAGTTTAAAAATATGAGTTTTAATTCAGATGTTTCTATTTTAATATTTTGAATAGCGTAATATTTCCAGTATAGAATTTTTATACTTGTCAGGGATTCAAAGCAGTGAATTTTGAGACTCTGAGATATTTCCAGTGTCGTATATGCTAGGCGGAGTTCTGATATTTACTTAAAGGAATACTTTACTTAGATGTCAGTTTCTGTATTAACGTTAGTGAGTTCCTGTTAATGTTATTACACTGATTATCTGAAGCCAATGAGATGTTCTAACGAGCATGTGTGTGTATGAGTGTGTGTATGGGTGTGTTTATGACATCTCTGATTACTAAAAACTAGAAAAGTAATCATTCATTCATAACTGGAATACAGTCTTTTAAAATAGTGGTTTTGAGACATTTTGGTGTAAAATTAAAAAAAAAAATAATTGCATAGAGGCAACCAACATCATTGGCTGTTTTCCATTTCAATACCCTTTTGAAATCCTTAACTGTATTACAATGCTCAGAAATAATATGCAGAATTTTTGTGTCTTAAAATGGAAGGTGAGTGGTTCTACGCTTTACATATCTTTCTGCCACTTTCTTTTGTGTACTTTGCATTCTATTTTCCAGATGTATCTACATTGATACAATTAGCTCTGGCTTAATTCATTTTACACTTTTTATTGTATTCCCTTATACCACTCTACCACATTTAATTAGACTCTCCTGTTGCTGATAAATGGGAAAAAAAAGAAAAAGAAAAATAGGCTGGGCGTGGTGGCTCACACCTGTAATCCTAGCACTTTGGGAGGCTGAAGTGGGTGGTTTACGAGGTCAGGAGATCAAGACCATCCTGGCCAACATGGTGAAACCCCATCGCTATTAAAATATAAAAAATTAGCTGGACATGGTGGCGTGTGCCTGTAGTCCCAGCTATTTGGGAGGCTGAGACACAGAAATCGCTTGAACCCAGGAGGCAGAGGTTGCAGTGAGCCAAAATTGCACCACTGCACTCCAGTCTGGCAGCAGAGCAAGACTCTGTCTCAAACAAAAAAAGAAAAGGAAAAATAATGTAAGATGAAAAGGGCCTTTTGTTTAATCAATTTGTATCTGTGAATATTTGAGAGTTTAAGGCTGAGAAGTTCAGAATGCAAGCATGCACCACCATATTTTACGAATGCCCTTAGCATTATGACACCAACAGTCAGTGATTAATTAGTGATGCCTATGTATTGAAGCTTGCATAAAGTCCCAAAGGGACTGGGCTGGGAGAGCTTCCAGATCGATGAATACATGGAGGTTCCTGGAGGGTGGGGTGTTCTGAGAGGGCATGGAATCTCTGTGCCACTAGGCCCATACGTTGCAATATGCATATCTTTATCTGTACCTCTTGTAATGTCATTCGTAGTATACTGGTATGTTTCCCTGAGTACCTGGAGCTATTCCAGCAATTCAACTGAACCCAAAGAGGGAGTCCTGGGAACCCCAATTTGAAGCCAATTGGTGAGAAGTTCTGGAGTTTCAGACTTAGGACTGATGTAGGGAGGCAGACTCATGGGACTGAGCCCTTTACCTGTGGAATCCGATGCTATCTGCAGATAGAGTATGAGAACTGAATTAGAGGACACCCAGCTTGTGTCATCTGCAGAAGTGATTGCTTGCTTGTTGGTGGGGAAAACCTCTCCACACGTTTGGTCACAGAAGCCTTCTTTGTTGATGACTGTTGCTGTGGTGTGAGAGCAGAGAAAAACATGGCAAGTGTGTCTTTTCCACACATATAGTGGATAAGGGGTACTACTGTTTGCTCCCCTCATATTTTGGTCCAGAAATCATGCTGTTTGACACTGGTCACTCATTCCATCTGTTCTGCTAACAATACAATTTTTAGCCAATTTCATAGGGTTTGGCTAGGATGACTTGTATACTGCAGTTCACTTGTACATATTAAATTTTGATAAATTTATTCTTTTCATTTAATAAATACAAAGTAAGGGAAGTAAGAGTTCTTACTGCATTAATTACATACCAATAGGAATAATTTGTATTAATTCTAATAAGGCCCCAGGTATGCTCCCAAAGGAATGCTTTGTAACAAAGCATCAGCCCTATACGTTAAAGAAAAATGATCTAAATCATGTACACAACTGTGCATACTTTTTTTTTTTTTTAAATGAAGGTTGTCTTGCTATGTTTCCTAAACTGGTCTCAAACTTCTGGGTTTCTCAAGTGATCCTCCTTCCTCGGCCTCCCAAATAGTTGAAATTAAAGGCATGCATGACTATACTTTCTTACGGTTTTAATAATCTATACATGATTTAAAATGCATTTTACGTTTTCCTTTAATAGATTCTAGGAGTTCTGAAGAATCTGCAGTCAGGTAGGATTTTACAAATTAAAAAAATTATGTTAACTAAGAAAATATAGATGGAAGAAACGAATTATCTATTGAGTGTTGTATTCTGGGCTAAATACCCTATTATGTGCTATGCATTTATCTCATAAAGCCATCACAATGTGTTTTCTTATAACCTACTATTTATTAAATAGGCAACTGTGGTTTAGAGACATTGATTAATTGGATCATGATCCTATAGTTCACAAAGTAGCTGACCCACAGTTTGACCGCCAGCCTATCTGACTTTCAAATCTTTTCTCTTGCTCCTGAGTACAGATTGATAGAGATATCTGTGCAGCACATTGATCAAGGTATAGGTCTGAATAATAGTAGTCAGATTAATTGTTTTAATTAATGTCTAAATTAATGAGTCTAAATAGGTTAAGCTCTCATTTTAGGTTACTGTTAGAAATGAGGTCAGTCCTTGAGTTTGTCTTAATAAATCTGAAAATTTTTGTGGTAACCAGCATCTTTTTTTTTTTTTTTTTTTTTTTTTAAATTAACCATCAAGGTCTTTAGGGCAGAGTAAAGGTTTGGCCATAGGACTGGAAGTTTTACAAAACCAAGATTTGGCAAGTCTTGGAGAGAAATTATTTAACTTCTCAGTTTTGTTTTCCCTGTAGGCTAATATTTCTGCCTATTTCCCTAATGCTTTTTTATTTTTTGTTTTTCTCTTTCTATGACTTTTCTTCCTTGGTGTTTCATTATGTTTTCAAATTCTGCTGACTATGTATTCCCAATTTTCATATAGACAGAACCAAAAGGACACAGAATTAAAAAATTTAAGGAATCTTAAAACTAATTAAAATATCTCCTCGTACTTCAATCTGTGTTAACGTTTTGGTCAAATGATATTCTAGATATAACTTGAGAATCAAATAGATTAGGATGCTTTTTTTCAGGCATAAGACGTGGTAGAAATGAGATCTGAACTCGTTTTAAAGCCCAATACTCTTCCTTCTTTTTTTATTCTATTGGCATGTTTTTTTTTGTTTTTTGTTTTTTTGAGTCAGAGTTTCACTTCTGTTGCCAGACTGGAGTGCAATAGCACAATCTCAGCTCACCGCAACCTTTGCCTCCCGGGTTCAAGTGATTTTCCTGCCTCAGCCTCCTGAGTATTTGGGATTACATGCATGCGCCACCATGCCCAGGTAATTGTGTATTTTGAGTAGAGACAGGGTTTCTCCATGTTGGTCAGGCTGGTCTCAAAGGCCTGATCTCAGGTGATCTGCCCGCCTCGGCCTCCCAAAGTGCTGGGATTACAGGTGTGAGCCACCACGCTTGGCCTTGCATATGTTTTAATAATACAAAGGGGGAGTGAGTCTGGTGCACCTAGTGGATAGAATGAGAATGGAATTAGCTGGTGAACCCAATGGATATGGCTAAGACTGGAATGAGCAGGGAAGGCCAAGTTTGAGGAGAAACGACACTGGATACGGATTATTCAATAAGAGATTAGAATACTGGGGTTTATGACAAGTCTGATAAAAAGATGAAGGACACAAGATATTGGGCATTATCTAAAAAGGCACATTAAAATAGAGGGTTCAAGGAAGCTCTAAACAGACTGCTGTGCTTTTTAAATCAAGAATTAACAAACTTGAAGATTTTTGCTGTGAGATACTAAAACATTTGGAGACACTGGGAGGAGTCTCTACAGCAGACAGAAATGTGGTATCATCCAATTCCATCCTGACTTGCAGAGGGGTGGCTTAGAGCCCCTTGAGTACTGATGGGCTGGAGATAGCTAAACTACATAGATCTGTGGCCCAGGGCAGGTATCTCCTCATCTCTGCCTCTTTTCCCAGTTCACTGGTGTCCTTCCCATACCCATGTAGGCTGGGTCAGGGACATCACTGGCTGCCAAATCAGTCATGAAGTTCAGCTGGGTAGTTGGAGGTGTGTCTGTGCTGTTAGTTAGTAGATACTCCAGTTAGGTTGTTATTCAAGAGCAGGGATATAAAGTGCTCCCACTCCTGATCACTTGAGGCCATCCTTTCCGGAATCTGTGCTTTCATAGACTGAAGATTTGAAGATTGGAAACAGCCATGGAGCCCTGCATTAAGTGGAATCTGGAAGTGGGAAACCATAGAAAGATATTTAGATAGTACTTACTAGACGTACAAGTGCCAGGACTGTTTTTCCATCAGTCTCTCTCGCTGGATATCTGAGTGCCTATGAAGGTTTTTAAGGGCTTACTAGTTTATGTGGACCTGAGTACGGTAGGACCTATAGAGTTAAAATAATTGGATTTTTATAATGGTTAATGTTTTAATCTTTCTGGGAAGAGTATCCTAAATAAGAAAATATACCTGCATTATTAGACTTTTGTACATTTAGCTTTCATACATTTCAAATACAGCAGGGGATTCTCTGTACTCTTTTAGGACAAAGGAAAGCATTGGGACCTTCTTAAGTGGTTTCTATGCTGAGGAATCAAGACTGCCATTTTGAAGCGACACAGATTAGTCTTTTAGCCAGAGATAGACAATGGACAAGAGATAGTGGATCTTTCTACCTTGTTTTAGGTCATAAGGTTCCTTCCAGTTTAGGTGACAAAACTTATGTCATCCATTAATTGAATTTCATGTTCTGCTTCAGGACAGATAACTTGTGAGGGTAAATTATTGTCAAGCTCTGCCAATATATTGGCTGTCACTATTTGTTATGGAGTTCAAGGTCAGTTTTTATTGAATATTTTATAGATTTAGACAGCTGGAGGCAAAAATAGGTAACCAAAATCTATTTTTAGAACAGAGGCTATATATTTTAATTGTATCAATAAATGTTACTTAATATACAGAAGGCTGACCTTTTCCCAGACTGTGTTTTTGTTTGTTGGAGGGGGAAGCTGAATGTGAACTGGCAGTTAAAAAATTAAAAAAAAATATATATATATAAATATATTATATATATCTATATTATATATATAGATATATATACATATCTCAACTTGCTCATTTTTATTGTATATTTTTGCTCTAAAGCATTTTCCAGGAACTGTGTGTGGATTCATGACCTAAACCAGATGATGAAGACTTGAGTGTTACTACCAAGGTAAAGTGGTCTCTTGTAAAACTTTCTCAGTCAACTTCTGCATAGTATTTACTTTTTAAAAATTTAGCAGTGGTTTACCTATTATTGTTTTATGACGGTTATGTAAAGTTGGTCAGAGAAAACCATAGACATATGGCTAGTTGATTAAAAATTTTTATTTAATGTTGGTAACAAAAGATTGGTAAGGACTGTGACAGGGTGGGAGCTGAACAAAAATGAACCGGAAGATACATAGCAACAGAAAAATTACCTTCGGAAATGCTTTCCCCAATAGAGAAAATATGAAATTTGATTCAGGTTTAATTAGATAAATATTTTGACTTTTAAATCAAACTAGTGTGACATCTGTATTTTTGCCAGTATAAATCTTCAGTGGATCAAATTACTTGTGGTTATCATGGAATCTCCCTGGCACCTTTTAGTTGAAAAACTGTACAACAAATAGCATATAGCTGTTTTTCTTGGACACTTATTATTTGGGTATTATATACTTGGTAGGAGAGATTGTTCCTCTACTTAATGGTTCTATAGTGAAACTAAAATATTAAAAACTGTAGAAAAAATAGCTGAGTGTGGTGAACATACACCTATAGTCCCAGCTACTTGGGAGTTTGAGGTTGCCTGAGCTGAGGAGTTTGAGAACAACCTGGGCAGCCTAACAAGACTGCATCTGATTTATTTTTAAAAATTATACCAAGTTCTGGAGTACATATGCAGAATCTGCAGGTTTGTTACATAGCTATACACATGCTATGGTGTTTTGCTGCATCCATCCCCCTGTCATCTACATTACACATTTCTCCTAATGTTATCCCTCCCCTAACCCTCCACCCCCTATTATTCCTCCCTTACCTCCCTCTCCTCTCAACAGGCCCTGGTGTGTGATGTTCCCCTCCCTGTGTCCCTGTGTTCTTATCGTTCAACATCCACTTATGAGTGAGAACATGCAGTGTTGGGTTTTCTGTGAATGATGGTTTCCAGTTTCAACCATGTCCCTGCAAAGGACATGAACTTGTCCTTTCTTATGGCTGCATAGTATTCCCTGATGTATATGTGCCACACTTTCTTTATCCAGTCTATCATTGATTGGCATTTGGGTTGGTTCCAAGTCTTTGCTATTGTAAACAGTACTGTAATAAACATATGTGTGCAAATGTCTTTATAAGAGAATGATTTATAAACCTTTGGGTATATACCCAGCAATGGCATAGCTGGGTCAAATGGTATTTCTAGTTCTATATCCTTGAGGAGTGGCCACACTGTCTGCAACAGTGGCTGAACTAATTTACACTCCTGCAAACAGTGTAAATGCGTTGCCATTTCTCCACATCTTCTCCAGCATCTGTTGTCTCCTGATTTTTTTAATGATCGCCATTCTAACTGGCATCTCAATGTGATTTTGACGTGCATTTCTCAGTGATGATGAGCTTTTCTTTCTGTTTGTTGGCTGCATAAATGTCTTCTTTTGAGAAGCATCTGTTCATAGCCTTTGCCCACTTTTTGATGGGGTTGATTTTCTTGTAAATTTGTTTAATTTCTTTCTAGATTCTGGATATTAGCCCTTTGTCAGGTGGGTAGATTGCAAAAATTTTTTCCCACTCAGTTGATTGCTGGTTCACTGTAATGATTGTTTCTTTTGCTGTGCAGAAGCTCTTAAATTTAATTAGATCCCACTTGTCTATTTTGGCTTTTGTTGCCAATGCTTTTGGTGTTTTAGTAATGAAGTCCTTTCCTATGCCTATGTCCTGAATGGTATTGCCTAGGTTTTCTTCTAGGGTTTTTATGATGTTAGGTCTTATGTTTAAATCTTTAATCCATCTGGAGTTAATCTGTGTATAAGGTGTAAGGAAAGGATGCAGTTTCAGCTTTCTGCAGATGGCTAGCCAGTTTTCCCAACACCATTTATTAAATAGGAAATCCTTTCCCCATTGCTTGTTTTTGTCAGGTTTATCAAAGATCAGATGGTTGTAGAGGTGTGGCATTACTTCTGAGGCCTCTCTTCTATTCCATTGGTCTGTATCTCTGTTTTGGTATCAGTACCATGGTTTTGATTACTGTAGTCTTGTAGTATAGTTTGAAGACAGGTAGCATGATGCCTCTAGCTTTTTGTTGTTTTTTTGCTTAGGATTGTCTTGGCTATGTGGGCTCTCTTTTGGTTCCATATGACGTTTAAGGTAGTTTTTTTCCAATTTTGTGAAAAAAGCAAATGGTAGCTTGATTGCATAGCAATGAATGTATAAATTATTTTGGGCAGTATGGGCATTTTCACGATATTGATTCTTTCTAATCATGAGCATGGAATGTTTTTCCATCTGTTTGTGTCCTCTTATTTCCTTGAGCAATGGTTTGTAGTTCTCCTTCAAGAGGTCCTTTCACCCCTTGTTAGATGTATTCCTAGATATTTTACTCTTTCTAGCAATTGTGAATGGGAGTTCACTCATGATTTGGCTGTTACTGGTGTATAGAAGTGCTTGTGACTTTTGCACATTGTGTATTCTTGGACTTTGCTGAATTTGCTTCATGAGCTTAAGGAGATTTTGGACTGAGATGATGGGCTCTTCTAAATACACAATCATGTCATCTGCAAATAGAGACAACTTGACTTCTTCTTTTCCTAGTTTAATACCCTTTCTTTTTCTTGCCTGATTGTCCTGACCAGAACTTCCGACACTATGTTGAGTAGGAGTGGTGAGAGAGGGCATCCTTGTCTTGTGCTGGTTTTCAAAGGGAATGCTTCCAGTTTTTGCTCACACAGTATGTTATTGTCTGTGAGTTTGTCATAAATAGCTCTTGAGATACGTTCCATCAATACCTAGTTTATTGAGAGTTTTTAGCATAAAGGGATGTTGAATTTTGTCAAAGACATTCTCTGCATCTATTGAGATAATCATGTGCCTTTTGTCTCGGTTCTATTTATGTAATGGATTATGTTTATAGATTTGCATTGCTGAACCAGCCTTGCATTTCAGGGATGAAGATGACTTGGTCATAATGGATAAGCTTCTTGATGTGCTGAATGATTTGGTTTGCCAGTATTTTATTGAGGATTTTCCCATCAATGTTGATCATGGATATTGGCTTGAAATTTTCTTTTTTAGTTGTGTCTCTGGCAGGTTTTGGTATCAGGCTGATTGTGGTCTCATAAAGTGAGTTAGGTAGGATTCCCTCTCTTTTTGTATTGTTTGGAATAGTTTCAGAAGGAATGGTACCAGCTCCTCTTTTTACCTATGGTAACATTTGGCTGTGAACCCGTTTGGTCCTGGACTTCTGTGTGGTAGGCTATTAATTGCTGCCTCAATTTCAGACCTTGTTATTAGTCTATTCAGGGATTTAACTTCTTTCTGGTTTAGTTTTGAGGGGGTGTTCGTGTCCAGGAATTTATACATACCATCTAGATTTACTGGTTTATTTGCAAGAGGTGTATGTAGTCATCTCTGATGGTAGTTGGTATTTCTGTAGGATCAGTGGTGATCCTACAGACATGAGAATCCTTTGAACCTGAGAGGCAGAGGTTGCAGTGAGCCAAAATTGAGCCACTGCACTCTAGCCTGGGCAACACAGCCAGATCCTGTCTCAATTCAAAAAAAGAAAGAATTTTTTGAAGTGTACTTACTTTATTTTCTTTCTCCACTAGAATGTCAGCTCCAGGTGGGCAGCTGTATCCTCAGTACATAAAACAATGCAGAGCAGGTGCTGAACAAATACTTGTCATCCACTGTAGGGAAAAAAAAAAAATCAAAGATATAAAATAAAAAGTATAGTCTTCTTTCCCAACAGTTCCTCTCCTCCAAAGTGAAAAAGTTTTGTGCATGCTTTTAGAAGAAAATGTACAAGCATATAGTTTTTAAAAAACATTTTGACAGATTTAAATGGGATCATACTGTACAGACTTCTCTTTATGTAGTTAATAGTACATCATCTGGGTTAATTCTGATTTTTTTTTTTTTTTTTTTTAGTTTTGGTTTTGAAATAGGGTCACGCTTTGTCCTCCAGGCTGGAGTACAGTAGTGTGATCACAGCTCACTACAGCCTCAAACTACTGGGCTCAAGAAATCCTCCTGCTTTAGCTTCTCAAGTAGCTGCGATTTTGAGTTATCACAAAGAAGCTAAGAACTTTCCTGTATCAATCTTTTATAAACATATGTTCTCGGCTCTCTTGGGTGGATGTCTGGGAAGGGAGTGGCTGGCTGTATGGTCACTATGTCTAACTTAAAAAAACAAACTCTTCCAGAGTCACAGAAGCATTTTATAGTCATGCCAGCAGAAACCACAATCCAAAATGGCTCTAAGCTCTAAGAGGCCATATACAAAAAAGAGAACATAAAACTATTACACACAAACCAATGAAGCATTAGGTTTTCAAACCCAAGCAGGGAGATCGCTCACACCTGCTTTTTTTGAGATGGAGTCTCACTCTGTCCCCCAGTCTGGAGTGCAGTGGTGCAATCTAAGCTCACTGCAACCTCTGCTTCCCAGGTTCAAGCGATTCTCATGCCTCAGCCTCTGAGATAGCTGGGATTACAGGCAAGTACCACCACACTCAGCTAATTTTAGTATTTATGGTAGAGACGGGTTTTCACCATGTTGGCCAGGCTGATCTCGAACTCATGACCTCAGGTGATCCTCCTACCTCAACCTTCCAAACTGCTTTGATTACAGGCATGAGCCACCGTGCCCCAGCACACCTGACTTTTGAGAGGAAGTCACTCAGGGGTGAAGAAAGGTTGTAAAGGGGGCCAAGAAGCCATGCAGACCCCCAAGCCCAGGCCTCCCTCACCTAGCCCCTGAGCCTAGGAAACCCAGGCAGCCCAGAACTGCATAAACTACATTCCCTTCTCAGTTAACTAAAGGGATCTGGGTGTAAAGGGCCACACCAGGAAATTCCAGCCTAGGACAGGGCTGTTCTTGTCACTCTCTCCAGTTCCACAGGGATTACAAGTGCCAGATCTGGCTTATGCCTCTGGGAATAAAGCAAGTGATCCATCTAACAATGTCACTAGGAAATGATGCCCTGGCCCCAAGATGAGCATCCCTAAACACCAAGGTACTCACAGAGCCAGCCCCCTTTCAGGTGGCCTGCTTTCAAGCCCAATGAGCCAGTTCTCACCACACCCTCCTTGGCAAGATGGAAGTGCAGAAATGAATAAATGCAACCTGTACAACTAAAAGCTACCCAGCATTTACCCAGAACTAGGGCACAGCTTATTATGACATTTATCTCACTGAATTTTCAGAAAATGCTCTGGGTAATAAATGGAGACTCATGCCTGTAATCTCAGCACTTTGGGAGGCCAAGGAAGGTTGGTTGGTTGAACTCGGGAGCTCAAGAACAACCTGGGCAACATTGCAAGATACCATCTCTTAAAAAAAAAAAAAAAAATTAGCCAGGTGTGGTGGCACTGTGACTACAGACCCAGCTACTCGTGAGGCTGAAGTGGGAGGATCACTCCAGCCTAGGCGATGGAGGCTGCATTAAGCTGAGATGGTGCCACTGCACTACAGCCTGAACAAAAGAGACCCTATGTAAAAATAATGGAGGCTCCCAGTGAGGCATGAAGGAACTTCATGGACAGGCCTTGAGGTCCCCACCCAGGTCTCCCTGCCTTCACTCTCATCCTTAATATCCACCTTCCCCAGGGCAGCCTGGATTGTTATAAACCAGAACTCAGCTATGTATGGTGGAAAGCACCTATAATCCCAGCTACTTGGGAGGCTGAGGCAGGAGGATCTCTGGAAGCCAAGAGTTGGAGACCAGCCTGGGGAACATAGTGACACCTGTCTCTATTTAAAAAAAAAAAAAAAAAAAAAAAAGGCCAGGCACACTGGCTCACACCTATAATCCCAGCACTCTGGGAAGCCAAGGCAGGCGGATCACCTGAGGTTGGGAGTTTAAGACCAGCCTGAACAACATGGAGAAACCCTGTTTCTACTCAAAATACAAAAATAGTCGGGTGTGGTGGTACATGCCTATAGTCCCAGCTACTCGGGAGGCTGAGGCAGGAGAATCACCTGAACCCAGGAGGCAGAGGTTGTGAGCCAAGATTGCACTCCAGCCTGGGTGACAAGAGCGAAACTCTGTCTCAAAGAAATACATATATAAAAATAATAAATAATAAGTCAGGCACTGGTGGTGCCATGCCTGTAATCCCAGCTACTTGGGATATCATCTACCAATCTATCATTTATCCATCCATCCATCCTACTAGTTCTGTCTCCATGTAATAAACAGAGACCGCACCTCTGCCTGCCAATGACCTTCAACTGGGTCATGGATATGGGCCATTTCCGTACAATGCTCAGCCATGGAGGCCCAAGCTTTATCCATCTCCCATGAGACAATGTATCTCATCACCTGGAACACCCAAACAGCCTCCCACCAGGATCACGAGGTCCTCTGCTGAGGTCCAAGTGGCTGGCACCATGGATGTCCCAGATTTCTGCCCACCATCTGGGTCTGACTGAAGGCCTGTATCCTGGGCATCCCTGGAATAGAACGAGGAACTGAACCTGGGTCTGGGGATTGTCTCTGTAAGGCCAACGGGTCTGTGGAGAATCCAATGCACCAGGCTGGCTCTGTCACTGCTTACCATAGTAAGCTTACTCCAAAACAGGCAACAGAAACAAAAACAGCCACCCTCCTGCCCCCACGTCACTTGCAATTTCACATTCCAGCTCATCTGGGCTCGGGATGCGTTGTACATCCTTGTTTAATTGGCGGTTGTTTTTCTTTCTTACTGTTACACACAATAATAACATATCGTGCAACTGATGGTGTCTCAGATTTGAAGAGTTAAGGTATGTGCAATGGAGGCCCTGACCTGATTCCCAAAGGAATAACAGAGGTGGCACAGTGGGGCACGCCTTACATAGTGGGTAGAGCCTAAAATCCAGTACAGCCAAAATCACCTGCAAATGGGGCTTCTTTGGCTAAACAAATGTACACGGTCAACTGGGTGTGTTGGACAGAAACACTTCAAACAGCAGGAACACACAGGGATGCCAGATGCTCAGAGACAGAAAAAGTGGGACTGACTCAAGGAGGAACAGTCACGTGCCATGGCAAACAGCATCAACTGTCTGCTTGGGCAGTGTTTTTCTCTCTTTTCTTTTCTTGAGATGAAGTCTCACTCTGTCTCCCAATGAAGTGCAGTGGTGCAATCTTGGCTCACTGCAACTTCCACTTCCTGGGATCAAGTGATCCTTCTGCCTCAGCCTCCTAAGTAGCTGCGATTACAGGCGCTTCGCCACCATACTCAGCTAATTTTTGTATTTTTAATAGAGATGGGGTTTCACCATGTTGACCAGGCTAGTCTCAAACTCCTGACCTTGTGATCCACCCGCCTTGGCCTCCCAAAGTGCTGAGATTACAAACGTGAGGCACCATGTCCAACTTCTCTCTTCTTTTCTACTCGGTTGTCTTAATGACTTTTGAGATTTTACCCCATTTGGCAGAAAAACAAACTGAGGCCCAGAGGAGAAGTGAGAACCACAAAGCTAGTAATAAGCAGCACTGCCAGGGCTGCACCCTGGATTCAGGGCACAGGCGGGAAGGAGGGAACTGGGGCATCCTAGAGGACAAGGAAACTCACACTTACTTCCTAGACTTGGCACATTTCTTCTTCCAGTTCTTTACCAAATCGGGCATGACTTGTTCTGATGTTTCCTCCTTGTTTAAGGACCAGAGGCCACTGCTCTCCAGAGGCTGGTGGCAGCCCCGGATGATCAACCTGAGGCCAAGACACAAGGGGGTTAGGCAATGAGAGTCAATGAGAGGAGGAAGAGGATGGGGCTCACAAACGAGTGCCGATGCTGCGCCCCTCCCTAGCACAACTGCCCGCTGCAAATGAAGGCAGCCACACAACTGGGGATGCCTGAATGTGGATAGACATTTGCACATATTACAAGGTTATCACAGCTCATTCTGTTTGGTCATAAAGGAAAAATGGCTTTCTTTTGGGGGAGTGCATAGAAAAGTTTTAGGGGAAAAAAGATGATTTAGGAGGAAAATATCAAGATGGCTCTAATTCACTTTTTTTAATCATTCATTCATTTATTTTTTCTGTTTTTTGTTTTTTTGAGATGAAGTCTCGCTATGTCACCCAGGTTAGAAGGCAGTAGAGTGTTTCTGGCTCACTGCAACCTCTGCCTCCCGGGTTCGAGCAGTTCTCCTGCCTCAGCCTCCCAAGTCTGGGACTACAGGCACACGCCACCACCCCTGGCTAATTTTTTGTATTGTAGTAAAGACAGGGTTTCATCATGTTGCCCAGACTGGTCTCAAACTCCTGAGCTCAAGCAATCTGCCCCCTCAGCCTCCCAAAATGCTGGGATTACAGGCATGAGCCACCATGCTCAGCCACATTCCTTTATTTATTTATTTGGTGACAGGGTCTTGCTGTGTCACCCAGGATGGAGTGCAGTGGCACGATCACGGCTCCCTGCAGCCTCCAGCTCCTGGCCTAGAGTAATCCACCTCAGCCTCCTGAGTAGCTGGGACTTCAGGTGTGAGCCATTATGAGTGGCTAAATATTTTTTATTTTTGTAGAGACAGAGTCTCCCCTATGTTGCCCAAGCTGATCTTGAGCTCCTGGGCTCAAGCAATCTTCCCACCTTGGCCTCACGAAGTGCTGGGATTACAGGCATGAGCCAACATGCCCCACCAACTTTTTAAAATTTTACATTATAAAAGGCTAATATGGACCAGGACCAAGTAGCTCATGCCTATAATCCTAGCACCTCAGGAGACCAAGGTGGGAGGACTTCGTGAACTCAGAAACCAACCTGGGCAACACTGGGTGATTAACTCTACAAAAAGTAAAAATAAAAAATATTACTCAGTCATAACGGCTCACACCTGTAGTTCCAGCTACTCAGGAGGCTGAGGTGGGAGGATTGCTAGAGGCCAGAAGGTGGAGGCTGCAGGGAGCCGTGATCATGTCATTGCACTCCAGCCTGGGCAACAGAGCCAGACCCATTAAAAAAAAAAAAAAAAAAAAAAAACCCACCAGGTTGAGGGGGGAAAAAAGAAAGGCTGACACGACAAAGCATTAGCAATCGTGAAACCTGGGTGATAAGCTTATTGAGTTTTATTGTATTAGTCTTTCTATATGACTCCACCCAGGCTGGGTACAGTGGTGCAATCTCGGCTCATTGTAACCTCCGCCTCCTGAGATCAAGTGGTTCTCCTGCCTCAACCTCCCAAGCAGCTGGGATTACAGGCACCTACCACCACACCCAGCTAATTTTTGTATTTTTAGTGGAGACAGGGTTTTACCACATGGGCCAGGCTGGTCTCAAACTCCTGACCTCAGGTAATCCACCCACCTTGGCCTCTCAAAGTGCTAACATTACAGGTGTGAGCCACTGCACTTGGCCAACTGAACACTTTTGTAATAAGAAGTTTAACATTTTCATTTTTTGTTTTAAAATAATTTCAAATGTATAGAAAAATTACTCAAATCATACTAAGAATTCACTCAACTCACCATTAACATGTTGCCAAGTTTAAAGTAACATTGCCTTTATCCATTCACACACACACATACACACACACACACACACACACACACGCACACGCAAACACCTCTTTTTCTAAACCATTCAAACAGTTAAAGGACTAGCACCGTGGCTCATACCTGTAATCCCAGCACCCTGGAAGGTTGAGGTGCGTGAATCACCTGAGGTCAGGAGTTGAGACCAGCCTGGTCAACATGATGAAAACCCATCTCTACTAAAAATACAAAAATTAGCCAGGCATTGGTGGTGCATGCCTATAATCCCCAGCTACTCAGCAGGCTGAGACAGGAGAATAGCTTAAACACAGGAGGCAGAGGCTCCAGATCACGCCACTGCACTCCAGCCTGGACAACACAGCAAGACAGTCTCCAAAAAAAAAAAAAAAAAGTTAAAGATGTAGGCTCTACATATCTTTACCCCTAAAAAACTAGGGGTATCCCCTTGCAATCCAGGACATGCTCTTATGTAACTGGGCCACAATTTTCCAAAACAAGAATGAATGTTATTAGCATGCATCTGGTGTCCTGCAGTCATACACAAATTACATCAACTGTCCCAGTCACACTCTTTAATAGTAATTTGAAGAAATTATTTAAAATATCTAATCTTTTAAAAAGATGTTTATAAAAAGTTCATAAAGAGAAGAATTAGACCAGGCATGGTGGCTCATTCCTATAATCCCAGCACTCTGGGAGACTGAGGCAGAAGATTCACTTGAGCTCAGGAGTTGGAGACCAACCTGGGCAACACAGTGAAACCCTGTTTCTGCAAAAAATACAAAAATCTGTTGAGCATGGTGGAGTGTGTCTATAGTCCCAGCTATTTGGAAGTCTGAGGCAGGCATCACTTGAACCCAGCATATCAAGACTGAAGTGAGCTATGATTGTGCCACTGCACTCCAGCCTTGGCCAAAGAGCACATGCCTGTCTCCAAAAAACAAAGAAACAAACAAAAAGATGATGCATATTAGGGTGAAAGATTCTTCAAATAATCCCCAATAAGATGTTGACAATGGGCAGAAAAAGATGTACAAGAAGAAAACCACAAGGTGGCTGGGCATGGTGGCTCACACCTGTAATCCCAGCACTTTGGGAGGCGAACGTAGGTGGATCACCTGAGGTCAGGAGTTCAAGACCAGTCTGGCCAACATGGCAAAACTCTGTCTCTACTAAAAATACAAAAATTAGCCAGGCATGATGGCGCACGCCTGTAATCCTAGCTACCTGGGAGACTGAAGCAGGAGAATCGCTTGAACCCAGGAGGCAGAGATTGTAGTGAGCTGAGATCACGCCACTGCACTCCAGCCTGGGAGACAGAGGGAGACTCCATCTCAAAAAGAAAAGACGACCAGAAGGAGGCATACTAAAATGGTGACAGTGGTTGCCTCTGGGTGTTTCCTTACTACTGATCTACACGTGTTTTTTTAACCCACATTGCCTATGGTGAGACAGTATTATTTTCCTAAGGAGTGGGGGATGGGAGGGGAACAACGTCAATAATAACTATACCTAATATTTAAAAAACACAAATCTGTCAGGTTGAACACAATGTCTAGGCAAGAAATAAAAAATAAAAATAAAAACCCAAATCTGAAGCTAAATCAAGAGCAGTCCAGTGTATGGCTGTCCTAGGCCAAGCCTTCTGCAGATATTTAAGCTGCTCATGGCTCATGTGTTTATCACATTCAAGGTGATGGATTTGGGGGACAGAGTTGGTGTCTCTGAGACCACATGGCCAGCACAGGCAGACTGAATACAATTCTGCAGAAGAGCAAAGGCAAGCGGGGAGCTCAGCATGCTTCATTCATTCATTCATTCATTCCCCACCACCTTCCTGAGGTCTCTGGGGCCCAGCCTTACCCTGTGATCCACCAGAACGTGATCCTGGACAGGAGCGAGGCACTGGACTCTGGGCATGGATTCTAGCGGAAAGAAAGAACAGGTTAGGGAGGAAGAGGGAAAGGAATGACTCAACTTTTTATCCAGGCCAGAGCTTGGCAAGTAGTCAGCTGCCCATTCTTCCTTCAAGAGGACCAGTGTCAGCCTGGCGCAGTGGCTCAAGCCTGTAATCCCAGCACTTTGGGAGGCTGAGGTGGGCAGATCACAAGGTCAAGAGATCGAGACCATCTGGCCAACATAGTGAAACCCTGTCTATACTAAAATATAAAAATTAGCTGGGTGTGGTGGCACACATCTGTAGTCCCAGCTACTCGGGAGGCTGAGGCAGGAAAACTGCTTGAACTTGGGAGGCGGAGGTTGCAGTGAGCCGAGATCGCGCCACTGCACTCCAGCCTGGTGCCTGGCGACAGAGCGAGACTCTGTCTCAAAAAAAAAAAAAAGGACCAGTGTCCACTCCATACCATTCTGCACCCCAAAAGGATTCTCTCCTAAGTCCCAGGAGAAAGAAATTCACAGCAGCTCCTCTCATTTCACTCAACAGAGTGTCTACCAGGCGCAACCACAATACAAGCTGTCGACCTGCCTTATCTTCTATCCCCACAGCAACTCTAGGAGCTGGTGTTACCATCATCCTCACTTCACTCATTCATTCAACAAATAATTTCTGAGTACCTACCGTGTGCTAGGCACTCTACAAGGTACTACAGGGTTACCTTAGGTCCCCACAACAAACTCATAAGCTGGTATTACTATTGTCCCCATTTTCCTCATTCAGGCATTGAATATTTGTTGACCACCTACTATGAGCTACACGTCCTACTAAAAACTTACATACTTGCATTATTTTATATCCTCATGGAATTCTATAAACATGGTATTACTATTATCTCCACTTCATTCATTCATCCAACGAATATTTCCTGAGCACCACGCATGTGCCAAGCACCCTGCATAAAAATCTAAACAAACAGAAATGACCCCTGCCTGTATGAAGCTTGTGGTCCACTGCAGTAATACCTGTCAAGATTCTCTACTATTAATAGCTAGCTTTGTTCTAAGTGCTTTATACAAATTACTTTATTTAATCTTCATCCCCACCTCACAAGGTAGGTGAAAGTATTATATCATCACTGTTTTGCAGTTAAAAGAAACTGGGGACCAGAGATGAAATGATTTGTTCAAGGTTCCATAGCTAAAACTGGTGGAGACAGGACATGAGCCCCAAAGAGTCAGGCTTCAGAGAGAGAGACATGCATCAAATGATCACACAAACAAATGCAAAACTGCGACTTCTGGGCCTTATGTGTCCTAAAGGTAGAGAAATATTACCAATCAGACAAAGTCAGCACATGGGGGCTGATCTGGTGTACCAAGGTCAGAGAAGCTCCCCCAAGGAAGACAGTCAAGCTGGCACCTGAAATATGAGTAGAGGAGAACTAAGTAACGAGGAAAGGCAAGGCACTCCCAGCAGACAGCACCATGTGCAAAGGCCTAGTGGCAGAAGGAAGCATGGCAGACTAGGAGTCAAGAGGAGTCCTGAGCAGTCTACAGTGAAGGCTGTGCACAGTCTACATTGCAGGCCGCACATTTTGGTATTGATTCTAAGGGCAAGGGAGAGTAATGAGAGACTCTAAGCAAGTTATCAGAGAACTTATTTCCCAGAGGCACAAAGAGAAGCCCCAACTCAACATGCAGCAGGCAAGTAAAGGGACTGACACAGAGTCCTGGGATGACAGATCAAGCCTGGCTTTCAACTCAGATGCATTTGGGTCAAAATTCTGAAACAAGCTTTAAGGAGGAGAGGGAAGAAATGTCACCATTTAGTAATGTGAGCTTTAGTCAAGGACTCCACTCAAATTTCCAGCCTTGTGCAGAGATAAGGCATTTACAGAGCCCAATAAGGCAGCATACTCTCCTCAAGTGGTTTTCCATCCAAGGCTGGGTGTGCCTTTTAAAAAATACTGTATCCTGGCAGAGTGTGGTTGTTCATACCTGTAATCCCAGCACTTTGGGAGGCCAAGGCAAGCGGAACACTTGAGGTCAGGAATTGGAGACCAGCCAGGCCAATATGGCAAAACCCCATTTTCTACTAAAAATACAAAAAATAGCTGAGAGTGGTGGCTCACGACTGTAGTCCCAGCTACTCGGGAGGCTGAGGCAGAAGAATCACTTGAACCCAGGAGGCAGAGGTTGCAGTGAGCTGAGATCCCACCACTGCACTCCAGCCTGGGGTCCCTGTCTGTATCTGGACCCTATCCCCACCAGGGATTCTGATTAAGCTGGTTTGGGATGTGACTGGTGCACTGAAACTTTGTTTTAAATGTCCACATTCTCCTTGGAAAAGTGGCTGGGCAGGAAATATGCAAGATAAGCCAAGAACATCCTGTCACACTGGACAACAAGGGAACTAAGCATAAACAGGATTGTTAGAAGGCCCAAGAGCCAAGGAAAAGTGGCACCACAGGCTAAAAAAGGGGCAATTTGAGCTTTGACAAGGAGAGTAAGTGCAAGGAGCTGAAACATACCATGTATTGTTGTTATTGTTTTTGTTGTTGTTGTTGTTATTATTATTATTATTATTGAGACAAAATCTTGCTTGTCTCCCAGGCTAGAGTGCAGTGGCATGATCTTGGCTCACTGCAACCTCCATCTCCTGGGTTCAATTGATCCTCCCATATTGGCCTCCCAAGTAGCTGGGATTACAAGCATGAGCCAAGACACTTGGCTAATTTTGTATTTTTAGTAGAGACGGGGTTTCACCCTGTTGGTAACCAAGGTGGTCTTCAATTTCTGCCCTAGAGTGATCCACCCACCTCAGCCTCCCAAAGTGCTTGGATTACAGAAATGAGCCACTGCGCCTGGCCAAAAACCTCCATTTTTGCTTAAGGTTTTAACAATTAATTTCACATTATAATGTGAAAAATAATGAGTCTCTAGCAGTCTTATCCCAAAAACTGGGGCCAATTATAAAGCACTACTTTGCTCAATCCCATTTTCCTTCAAATCACCTATTTTGAGTAAATACACTAGTTTCATTTTCCACCCCTATATAGGGGCAGTAAATACTACTAGGAAAAAAAACCATAATTAGCACCAGTACAAATTCAAGGTTTCCAACCTGAGTGTAAGCACTGCTTTGTAATTTTTTTTACCCATCCCAGGTTACAGTCTCCTATTACCCCAAAATGAAATCTCAAATGTCCTCCATTCTGCATAAAACCCATGCTGGCCCCTCAGTGGAAAACATCAACCATGAATTATGGGTCTCTTCACTTTACCTTCACACCACAGATTTCTGTCACACTGACTGTGCTTATCACCATGTATATCTAACATTAGACTGGACTCCTACGGAAGAGGAACTCACATTCATTTCTCGGTCCTAAAGGCAAAACTCTGAAGTGTAATTAAGGAAAAAAATAACTCCAAGTCTTTCAAGTTCTGAATTCATGGTCCTCTAAAAAATGGCAGTGTATATTCAAGCTCTGCTTGTTTTCCTGATCCAGTTCTCCATCTTTGTGGGGGCGGGTCTTACAAAATAAGTCAGGAAGTCAAAAATATCTAGAGATTACTCCCACATGGTAATCTTTGCAAATAAAACTCTTAGACCTAACTTTATACTAATAAAAATTTCATGATACTTTTTTTTTTTTTTTGAGACAGGGTCTTGCTCTGTCACCCAGGCTGGACCATAATTACAGCTAACTAAAATTTCATCTTCCTGAGCTCAAGCAATCCTCCCACCTCAGCCTCCCGAGTGCTGGGGCCACAGGCACAAGCCACCATTTGTGGCTAATTTTTTGTAGAGATGGGGTTTCACCATGTTGCCCAGGCTGGTCTCAAACTTCTGGACTCACAGGATCCGCCTGTCTCAGCCTCTCAAAATGCTGGGATAACAGGCATGAGCCACTGTGTCCAGCACCAATACCACATTTTAATTGTGTATTGAGGCAGCTGGATTGAAGGAAGAAATGGGTACTCCATTTTCTTTTATTTCCCAGTCCTAAGGGGTTTTAAACACACTAATATTAAAGTTTAAATGCCCTAAAGCTGAAAAAGATATTTAAAAACTTAACAGTCTCACAGTATCTAAGTTGAAGAAAATTAATAAAATGCAAGGTGCTTATATTTTTAAAGAATTTCAGTGAATTTTGCAACTGTAAAAATGAAATCAGAATAATCTGAGGAAAGATTTCAGAGATGAAAAGATTTTCTGAGATGAAAAGCATGATTTGCCAAATTTAAAACAGCAACAGAAGCAGTAAGTAGTAGATGAAATATAACCAAATAAAAATTAGCAACATAAAAAAATCAGAAAATGAATTATCCTACAACTCACATCAAAAGGACAAAATAGATTAACAAGATGAAAGAAAAAATGTTAGAAATATGCAGATCAACCTTACCAATACTATGCAGAGAAAGAAAACAGTATTTTTTTTTTTTTTTGACAAATTTACTGAGCATCGAGCATCTAGTATACTACGGCCATGACACAATAGAGAATAAGAGAGACATGGAATGTGTCTTCAAAATGTCCACGTTCTAGAACAAATGAAGCTGAAGTTGTAACCAAAGAAATTACTGAAGAAAACTATGCTTATGAAGAAAGGGAGAAGGAAGAGAAGGAAAGAAAAAAAATGTATACATTTTATGTTTTAGCCAAATTTAAGGCAAAGGGATTCTGATAGAATTTCAAAGATTTCAGAGATAAAGTATCCTTCGAGCACAGTGAGGACTGAGTGTCGAGGGTAATCAAGTTTTTAAAAAAATCTGGGTGGCACTGTTTTTAACAAATACCACATGCGGACAAGGATACAGTTAAATTGGCACTCCCATACATTTGAAGCGGGAACATAAATTGTTTTAATTTTCTAGATGTAAATTTGACAATGCCACTTCATGTACAGCTTAAGAAACTTACTAAGGTTTCTGCCAGAAATGGTAGCTCACCTCTGCAATCCCAGCACTTTGGGAGGCTGAGGAAGGCAGATCACTTGAGGTCAGGTGGATCACCTGAGGT